ATTTCCGATACAAAATTCCAACACTCCCAACTACAAATTTTATCACCAAATTTGTCAAGAAAATGATAATTAAGATAGACAAATTTGTAGTTCGGTGGTTGGGAGTTCCACTTTTCCTTCTTATATCTCCCACTCTTTGTAACGAGTCCAACAATCCAAAACATGCTACATAACCATGTCTGATCAAGCTAATAATAGGGGTGCTGGCTCAGCCCAAAATGAAGGGTGGAACTTCCGTTGTACCCGTGGGTCGGCTCCCGAAGGAAGTTGGGATTATCAGTGGGGCATTGGCTTGGACTCCGGTGGCAACACTTTCAATTTTGGATCAGGATCAAGTCAAGTAGGACAGCATGGTGGTGGCGGTTTCGGTTATAGTTGGGGTGGCTCTACTTCCGCTCGCTTCAGCAATGCTTGTGGTAACTTTGTGTATGGAGGAGGCGGAAGTAGGGGTGAAAGTGAAGGCGGAGGAGGGGGCGGGGGAGGAGGAAGGTCTCCCTCCGGTCGACCAACATCGATTTCCCCTCGTATGACTAGTTTATGGTATTTTCTTCATAACACATGATGCAGTGCTAGTAGAATATTGTGTATTGAAGTGCCTAAAGAAATGTTTGTTACTTTAATTTGTCTGATTACAAGAAGTTTATTGTACTTTATTTTACTTGTTAATTACTAAACACACCATAATGTGGTTTAGCGATAAACAAATAAAAGTGAAAATCTTACATTTTCGTTTTTTTTATTTTATTCAATTAATTTGTAGCTCCGAGTGCATGTTTCGTAAGTTATTATTATGAAATTTATATTACAAAAGTAGCTTTAGTAGGCAAGGTTGAAGGCACGGAGAATATTCACACGTTAGATACTAGACATGGCAATATTAGAAAAGTTTTGAAAAATCGTCCCATCAATCAATCTATTTGCCCATCATGATTCGAAAATTAGAAAGATCATTTTCAAGTTTGAATTTGTTCATAAACATATAGGGATTGAACAAGGTGGATCGACCATTCCCACCTAGTCTTTGTCGAGTATTTTTGTCACATTGTCCCGATTCCATACCCAGCTAAAGTGGGATGAGACGAGTTCATGATAGGATTGGGGTGAGGCGGGACAAGTTCCCTACCTCGTTTATTTTTATTTTTTACTTTTATATTTTTATGTCTTTAATAAGTGAATATTATTTCTTTGTTTTTTTAACTTATTAAGAACGACTCATATTTTCTTTAAAAATAACGATAAATATTTTATTTTTGTTTGATAAAAAATTTAAACTTGAAATTAACTTAAAATAGAGCAGGTGGTAAAGCGAGAATTATGTTTCTCGTACCCCCGTACGCCCACTTCAAGGCAACGACCCCTGTCCTTTATTCAATTAATTTGTAGCTTCGAGTGCATGTTTCACAAGTTATTATGATGAAATTTATCCCTCTTCTATTAAAAGAGGGAATCAGCCATGCACTATTCATTCAAGACGTATTTGTCTGTCCCCATTTTATCCTTCGTTTACTGTTCATCATGGACAAATTGTCAAATATGTAGGCGGTGGGAAAGGCGGTGGCTGGGAAAGGCGGTAGGAAATGTTGTGGCTATATTTTTCTTATATATATCTTATCCCTCTTTCCATTCCATCATCGTCCTCTCTAGCTTCTACGAAGTATAAGAAATTCTGAAAATATATTTATTTGACTGCATTACTGTCTTCTTCAGCGTGTAGGAATAAGAAATTTTGAAGAACTTGTCGTCCGGCACAGAAACCAGCAGCCTGGGTGTTATTAAGAAACATAAAGGTACAATCTTGCTAGACAAGATTTCTTTGTAATTTATTTGAATCCCTCTTCTATTACTTACTGTAATACGATATTCTGTGATTAATACTTCAACCAAGAATTTACAGCTTATTGGGAATCATAATTGTGCGCATCACATGCTCGACGAAATGTCACAGTTGGTT